GTGGTGTGGTTGGTGGTGTGGTTGGTGGTGTGGTGTGGTTGGTGGTGTGGTTGGTGGTGTGGTGTGGTGTGGTTGGTGGTGTGGTGTGGTTGGTGGTGTGGTGTGGTTGGTGGTGTGGTGTGGGTGTGGGTGTGGGTGGCGGTGGCGGATGCGATGAGTCTCTGTAGCACCTGTGTGATGTGGAGATCTACAGCTGGAATTGCCCAGGAAGTTTCCTCCATTGAACTGTTGTTTTAGTGAGAACTTGCTGTATATAGTGTATAGTGAAGGAGACTATTCGTAGCATTGACTCCCACCGTGGTTTTAACGCACTCGATGCGCCGGCGAACAGTCGTTGCCACTTAGCTGTTCACTAGTCGACTGTATCGGCTGTGCTCGAATGGAATAGTAGTAGTAGTAGTAGTAGTAGTAGTAGTAACAGTAGTAGTTAGTAGCAGCAGCAGCAGCAGCAGCAGAAGTTGGCATGAAAGTGGCATTCGTTACACTAGCGCATACTAGCGTTTTATCGTCTCTTGGTGCAGCGATTCGGGGCACAGTACGTTTGTTTCATGCACACGGTCTTTGTTAGCGGCTGCTCAGTTTCAGACAATCTTAGACATTTAGTGCGTAAACGTGGGGTGTGCAGAAGGCCCCTCACGGATTTCAATTGTCCAATTTGCTGGGCGAGGCCCTGAATCCGGTTCTGCACTCAGCGTTTGAAGATGCTCATGCGGGCACTTGAGTTGAGTTTCTTTACCTTGTAGAACCTGCCAAAACGCATGCAGTGTTGCGGCTGAGGCGTGGCTAGACATCTTCCGCTTCTGCAGCATTCGTGACCTGGGCCAGGGCACCCGGATGTCGCAACGTTTTAAGCAAGGCTTTCGCCCGTGGTTGCTGCTTTTGTTCTTGCAGGTGCGAGTCTGGCAGTAGACAGACACTGGAGAGCTGCTGTGGACTCCCATCATGTATGGGCTGATGCGTATGCGGCAACCCCAGCACTGCGCATGCTGCATGCTTGAAATGGTTGAAGTGTTGGATGCCAGCTGTGAGGATCGAACGCAGAGAGTTGATGACTCCAGTGCCCCTAGCGGCACCTCGCCCGCATTTGATTGGAAAGAAACAGGATCCCCCAACGGAGCACATTGACATGACATTTTCCCGGGGCCTTCCAGCTCTTACGAAAAGAGTGCAACCCCAAATGGTTGTGCCGATTGCCAGCGAGGTGAAAACCTGCTGCGGTCGCTGATCGAACGGCCTTTCGGGGAGGTGCCATGTACTGTTTGGCTTCCAGGTAAAAGTTATCAGTCTAAAGCCTGAGGATGCGGTGGGATGGCATGTCGCCGTTCTGGCGGAAGACCACGGCTACAGCACAGAACGCTACTATGCAGGCGAGATGCTGAGATGACACTGCACCTCCTTCCCTGCCTTGCGGGCGCTGGCTTTTGATGCAGGCCGCGTCGTGGCATACAGTGTCGAGACAGACACCTACCTCATAGCCTATGACACAGAAGGCCCTTGGAACGGCGACTCGATGAGAGTGGCCAGGACGTCAGACCTGCTGCAATGAGGCGCGCAAGCGGATCAGCCCAACATGCATTGGGAGCAGGACAGAACCTGAAATAGAATCTTCCTGGGTCCCTGAAATGGCCGATTGCTTCAGGGCTGGCATTACAGTGAACCCAATTTGGACATGTTCTCAGGTTGATAGCAAACACACATAGTGTGGGTTCTGAGACGGGTTTTGCCGGTCTTGCTCCTAAACCCGGAGGGCCCGCAGGGCAGCTGGAATGTTGAGGACACAGAAGCATGATGTGTTTTGAAGGAAAGACGGAAGCGAACAGCAGCCATGCGCCACTGGCTGAGTTTTGCAGCAAGCGTCTGGCGGCCGTTGCACACTGGCATTTAGGTTGCGGCAGTTGTTGCGCCGAAAGGTAGTAGGTGTAGGAACCAACAACACTCAAAAAGCCTGCAAAGAGACAGCATTGCCATGCCAAGGACACAACCCATCCCTCGCTGGAAAGAGTCGGTTCTCATTCTTGTCGCCGCCGCCACATCTGCCAAAGTCAGGCGCGGCCGTAGTTCTGGTCACGGCTGACAGATGTTTGTCCCAGCTTGTGGTTGTGGGGGTTAATGCCGACGTGCAATCACGTGCGACATCACGCAGTTTACGCAGTTTCGGAGCGGTGGGGTCGGAGGAGCCTTCAGGAATTTGGACCCCTTTCTGATGGCACTTGGCGCAGCCATCAGGAAAAGCTCTGTCGTAGCTGACAAACAGCCTGAGCTCCAGCTGACTTCAGTTACACTTCGCCATCTCCAGCAGACCTTAAGCCGCTGACTTCTCGACGTTAGAAAAGAGGTTTAGCGCAGTGCTGGCCCTGGGACGGCACAAAGCATGCCGCCAATGGGCCACTTGGCCACTTGCAATGGCGCAGTCTCGGGAGACATGTTGCCAATGCTGCAGATCTCGTGTTGTGCTGAGTGCTCTTGGCAGCGCCATTTTGACGACCCTTCTGCTGAATGGTGTGGTCAGCGAGATCAACCTCATCGGCGTATCCTCTTCATCAGTCAACTCACTCTTTGCCTTGCATCGAGCAGAACAGACACAGCCCACTCAGCAGAGCTCTGAGCTGATGAATATAATGAATCACGAAAAATAGAAGGCTTTCCTTGACATGCGCTGCAAACGCTGCCACCCAAGCCGAGCAATCGGCTTGTTTCTCATAGCTCTTGAGTGGCATTCCTCATACTCAGGCTTACGACGCCGAAACCTTGGAGCTTGACAGAGATGACGGTTGCTGATATTGGCAAGAAGGATGCGCTGTGCTCGATCACAACAAAATCTGGCTACACGTCAAGTAAGACACAACTTAATGTGCAAAGATAGGGTACCATGCCATACCACGCAGGCACTTTTCTCAGATTCATGTCTTGCAAGCAGGAGCTGCTCTTGCAAGTGACACAAGGATGGGCGCCTGCACCTTGGGAGAGTTGAGGTTTGCGCCGAATGTCTCAGGAGACCCTTTTGCTGCAGCACGACCTTACCACCCTCCCCGCGCCTGCGGCCTGGGATCGCAGGAAAGCCTTTTCAATCTTCTCACTGGTGGAGAGTATCTCAGCTGATGATGTGCCCGCATCTGTAGCACACAGATCAACTAAGCTTCTCACAGGTAATCAGCAATGTGAGAACACCGTGACCCCGGACGAGTGTTTCAAAGCTGCTGCATTCTTTGGAAAGCGGTTCGCGCCATGGATGCAAGCCAAATCCGAACCGGTTCTTCTTCGGGGTTGTCAGCATAAAGAAGGTCTCATCACTGAGCTGCGCACAGCTTTCTTGCAAAAATTAGGCAAGTGCTTCCTTTTGTCGCAACCAGGTGGGGAGATTGGAAGCTCCGCAGGAGCCAGCAGGCTGCATCCACCGGATTGTCGACGACGACTATTTGTTCAACATGCTTGAAACAGATGTCCACAAGGAGGACAGACAGCGAGTCTGCTCTGGCGAGCCATCAGGTACTCCCCAGAAGCGCGCAACACTGACCACAACCAGCTCTGCTCACGAGGACGTCCGGTCCACAACTCCGGATGGTGAAGTGGAGCCTGGCGACGAAGACTTTAGCCTGACCAACGCTGTCTGTCCCACTGGAACGTTTCCATTCCGAGATCCGTTGCACTGCAGGAAGGCGGCCAAGACCCTGAAGCGTAAATTTGTTGGAGTCGTTGCATCGCTGTCAGAACCATATGGCTGCGTTCACAGAGCAGCGGATCGAGACGTCATGTTCAATCGCTTCAAGACGGAGATTTCCAAAGAGGGGCGAGAGATTGTTTGTAGCTCCAAACAAGAACCGGACACCAAGCAACGTGAGCCACTGTCACAGAAGAGCGCCTTGAACCTGAAGCTGTACTGCTTTGGATGGACAGCTCGACGCCCTCGAGAAGAGCTCCTCTTGCCGCTGGCACGGTATCTCTTTGGAGCCTGTGATGGCTATGCTTTCTTCACAGACACAGATGCCCTAGGCGGCAGCAACGAATCTGACGTTGTAAAGGTATCGCTGCCTCGGACCCAACAGCCTCGTTCTGATGAGTTCTGGCTACTTCTGAAGAACATGGTCGGGCTTCTTCCAGCCTGGGAATACTTGCTGGAGCAGAATATCACAGACGGTTTTGATTGGGTTGTCAACCTAGAGCTGGATCACTTTGTGGTAGCCTCCCAGCTGCGGCGCACCATCGCAGACTATGTCAACATTATGATTCTCAGCAGCCTGCCTGGGCAAGACCCGTGGGATGATCCCATTATGCCATGCCCTCAGGCGCTTCACCCGCTGTGCTGCCATGAGAGATGTTTCGGACTGTTGAAGCGGCGCAACTGAGGCTCATTTTGGGAAATGTGTTCGCATTCAATGCAAGGCTTGTGCAGCAAATGAAGGCTGAGTGGGACGTAATTGGACGCGTCACTCAGATGAAGCGTTGGCTTAGCTCGAAGGGACTTGCGTGCAGGTTGAAGTAATTGCAGGAGCATGTCAAAGCTGGCGGGGCAGTCTTTCACCAGGGTTTTTCGCTAGACAGCCCGTTTGGAACAAGATGCAGGGCACAGACCGGTGGTGATATCTGGTTCCTGTTTAAGGTCATTACTGACGGCAACTCCAAGGGCCTTGGCTGCCCCATCATTTCAGGATCCCGTGCGCACAATGAGGGTCACTGCGAGCAAGACATGGTCTACGCCGCTTTGATGAATGGCATTATTCCACGATCGTCTGGCTTTTGCCCTCACGCAGCAATAGTTGTGAGTGCATTGTTGGGCTGCCAGCTCCTCTGATGTTGTGCCCAACCACCAGTACTAGAAACGAGTGTAAGACGGCAAGAAGAAGACACGCTCATATTAGTCCCGATGCCTTTCAGAAGGCGTTGAGTTTTGCAGTAAATTCTTGAACCTATCATCATTTTTTTGCTTGGCTCATAGTTCAAGCTTCGCACGCATAGTCACACATTGCGGGCAAGATACGCGGACACAGCTTGTGCGGACAACTTCTGAATAGATGTGAATAGATGAAATTCTGAATTCCTATGTGCTTATCGCATCTGGAAGCTTTTAACCCAAAACTTGGCTTTCAGCAAGAAGAGGGCTGCTGGCCCCACTGAGGAGAACCTGAGAGACTATCTCAGTCGACCCCCCGCAATTCTGGGTGCCAATGGATGTGGAAATGAGGCTATCTCTGATGCCTTAATAAAGTTTCCACTCGGATGCTGGCAAGATTTTCCGTTCGGAGAGGATGAGCCCGCCCGAATGAAAGCAATCAATGAAATCAGTTTGCTCTGGAATTTTTCCGACCCACATTCTGCTGAAGTGCATTGCGCATCGCGAGATGAGGAGGTGGTGAAGCATTGTAAATCCTTGTTTCGGGCGAAAAGAGTCCCCATAATTCACAATGTAAAAACTCCAGCTTTGCACCAGCTTGCCAGGGAAAAGCTGCTTCCGCTTGCCCTGGCAAGCACTGAGTTAACGCGACAGCCGTCGCATGCAATGCCTGAAAACAGGCTGGAGAACGCTCACCCGCATGATGCCTGTCCACTGGCATTAGATTTAGTTTGAGAATTAGTTCGTGTTGTCCTGTGACAAGCTGTGGTATCTTGCAGGAGCCGCCTACAGTTCCTCGGTGGCCCATGCAGAGCCCTCTCAGAAGGCCGTTCAGCTGCACTTCGTGCTGAATCTAAAGACTTGACTTTTAGCGCTGCTAGAAGGATTGTCAGCCTGAAAACTGGAAGCACTACAAGTTGTTGGATGCAAAGCCGCAAGCGGATTTCTTGAGATGAACATCCCGGCAATTTTTTGGGGAACCTGCCTACACGCCATTTGGCAGCAGGGCCCAGCGGTGATGCCTAAAACAGTCTCCACATTTCAGATCTTCATTCCTTGGTGTAGTTGTGAGATGTTGTGAGGTACGCGCAAGAGATGAGAGTGCCAGCCTGAGCACTTTGCAGCAGATGCTTGCAGCACCTCGATGTTGTGGCGCTCACGATGTTCATCCGAATCCAGGATCGCGTGAGCCACTCCGAGGCCGGCATCCATTCTTGATGCACAAACGAAGGAACAAAAACTGCGGCAACAACTTCGAGTTTGACAGATTCCTGACCGTTGACCATGAAACATAATGCGCTAATTAATGTTGATTCGTTTTCGCCGCCATATGGTTGGACATGGTGAATTGGGATAAGTGCTGATGGGAGCGAGCGTGAAGTGCCGCCTGTTTTTTTGCCAGCTGTTCCATAAGGAGGGTTTGCTTTCGGTGCCTTGCTCAGCCAACATAGGTTCTTGGAAGGAAGAGCTGAAGCACAATGCTCTTGCCTCAGATCAGCACAGCCTCTTTCAATGCCTCCTGTGAAAAGCTCGATGATCTCGAATGTCTTTGCTCCAAAACGAAGGCAGTTCTCATCATTCCTCACTTGTATCTTATTCTCCTGTGGTGATCGGTCCAGGTGCTTCAGGCACCCACCCAGATGTTGACGCAACTGAATGACCACAGCGATGAGGCCTCAAACTTGCGTATCACAACGCTTTCCTGGTTGGGCATGGTGTCCTAACATGGCTTTCCAGTCGATGGATACTACACCAGATGCTGATGTCCACACCGCAGAAGTTTGCTCGGCTGATTTGCTTCATATTTTACTCAGGTCCTGTTTGTTGTGGAAGCCTCAGATGCAAAACGCTGCCAAGGGTACCTAGCACAGTGAAACGGCTGGCCAGGTGTTCTCACCCTGTGGAACTCGCTTGGCAAGCTGTTCTCGGGACTTGCAAACGGCGGGCTTCGTATAACTTCTTTCTTAGATTCTGCATCATTGGATTTGTCTTTCAGATCGTCTTCAAAGTTCAGACGGATTGCGACAGTCGGCATCCTGGAGAACAGCCACGTTTGGAACGGTTCGGACGTGTGGGATGCATGTGGAATGGCCTGGGGTAGACGTCCTCTGTGGAAACGGAGGTCCCAGCGACCACGAGGGTGTCCTAATCGGCTCCAAGGAGAGCGAGCCATGGCCTTGGAGCCGTTTGTTACTGGGTTCTTCTGGGTTCCACAAGCTTCCGCCGAACCTTCCGCAAAACGGCTCCACGTCCCTGCCATGTCCTGGCATTGTTGCTATTGCTGTCGTCGCAGCCACTTTGCAGCTCAGTTCCATTTCCATTGCTGTTGTTGTAATGCTTCCAGCGCACTCGCCTAATGTTGCCATCATCATTGTTGCAGCTAGTGTTGTTGCGATTGGTATCGTTCCAGATTCGTTGCGGCTACTTGAAATTAAGTCTTGGCAGGCCTTCCAAATTCCCGCGGTTTGAACGGGAAGCCATTTTCACGCATCAGCGCTGGCCTTACAAACTGCAAGATGCCGACCAAACCCTACAAAGCGAATAGATACATCATGACATTCACATTAACATAGTTCAGAGGTTGCAAAGTGCCAGCAGAACTCTTAACCTGGGAGGGTGTGGTCTTCATGCATCTCTGCTATGAGGACTGCGCCGTGTCGAGCAATGTGGTGGCCCATCCCGCCATATGACATGGTCGCTGTCAGCACGGAGGCATGCAGAGCCGACGGATGAAGAGCTTCCATGCTCAGTCGTTTCGGATCAGAATATATAAGCTCTTGTACAAAAGTTCGGTTACAGTGGAAAGTCCCAGATATCAGATCGCTGTTGCATGCTGTTTCATCGCAAGGGGTTGATTGACAAGAGCCTAACATGATCACCATCAGTCAGAAGACCAGTATTTCATTGGGCGAGCTTCATGTGCAGAAGATTTTCATAAGCAGCTAATGCGCAGAGGATGCAGGCGCTGGCTGGCAAGCCTCAAAGGTTGAAATATGGCAGCGGCAGCCTCGTCTTCGTTGTTTACCAGATTTGGCAGAGTTCTTGTAATTCTGATGATAGCACGCAGTCAAAAAGTCCCTCGCTGGATTTCCTTCTCCTGATGGCAAGGATTGGTGGAGCCGCGGCCTGGCCGGAGCACTCATTTGAGTCTGAGGCTGTGGTAGCAGCTCATGTAATCTCTGCTGTAGGATGCTGTAGGCATGTATGCAAATCTTTGTTGTGGACACTGCTGATGCTTGTAATCTTGCAGTGCAACGCATTTATGCTTTATGCGTGTAGTAACAAGTGCTGAGCTCTCGGTGGGAGGGAAAAGGGTTCGAGTATCATCGCGGCCATTTTGGCGCGAGGATTCCAATGTCTCCCACCCAACCCACCCTGGAGGGGAGGGATCTGCTGATCAATTCCTTCTTTCAATCCCAATTGGCCAGTGCGCGGCAGAGAATGGAAACATCCCAGCAGCTTCTGACTGAAAACAGTGTATGCATTTGCACCGGAGGGCGGGCGGGCATGCTCATAGCGATGTAACTTGTTAGTGCCTGATGGTCGCTGACAGGCTTTCAACAGCTCTTTCGAGGAACAGCTGCCAGTGGGCTTCTGTGCGAGGTGCATCTTCCAGTGGGCAGCTCAGATTTGCCATCATCAACATTGTAACATCATTGCTGCAACGCGCCCCACATGCAGCCAGACTTCTGCCAAGGTGCCACAACAGGCCTTTCGACATCTACGCTGCTATATTTCCTTGGCCCCCGCTTTGTGTCCGGGCTTGCTCGCTTCTGCAACATGCCTAGCCGCGGGGCATTGCAGTATTTACGGTAAAGGCTAATGAGATTGTTGAGGCAAATTCGATTCCAGTAAGTACTGCAGAGCCGGCCAGACACTAGAATTGCTGGAAAGCATGCCCCGATACTAGGCAAAATAAGTGCACAGCATGACCAGTATTCAAAAACAGATGATGCTCTTCTCCTGTGGTGAAAGGTTCTACGAAAAGACTATGATCTCGCTCGGTTCAACCACCCACAAAATCTAGCCTTTGCAAACATCTGAGAGGCTGTGTTTGAACGTACTGCGCTTCATTTCGCACTTTGTTTTTGAGTTCTGTTGGCCTGCTTCTCCAGTACTTCCCATGCCATCCCTGGACACGTCCTATACGGGAAGCTAGGCAATGTCTAGCTTCCAGAAGTGGCAGAACTTGCACATCAGAGTAGGGTATTGCTTGCGGGGTCAATAGCATGCTGATGCGGCAAGAAATGCCCAGGGACAGCTTCCAGTGTATGAAGTAAGTGCTGCTCGTGTGTGACCAAATACAGCAGGCCACTGGCATTGACGCAGCCACACATTCGTCTCTCCCCTTACCCTGAACCATTCCCCCATGAATATTCCCTGGACAGCGCCAACAGATCCAAGCAGGTGCGTAGAGAGAGGACGGGCTTAAGAAAGGTTCTTGCATGCGTGCCAGGCAGAGCCCATCAAGAGCCCTGAGGATTGGGCGGGCCTTGGTTGCACTTCTTTGCAGCAAACGAAAAGTTTGACAGACCTAGATACAGCTCTTGTGTAATCGCTTCACGTTATCGATAGAACCCCCCCTATAACAAATAACAAATCCAGAGCCCCAACAAATCCTCATGATTATTTTAAACGAGGAAGACTACTTTTGAAAGGAGCCAGACCATAATGAATTAGGTGGTGTTTGAGGTCATTAGGGGGGCATAATAGAAAATCCAAAGGAATTAAGGATCCCCTTGACATCCTAGGTTTTGTTTATAAAGGATTCTATATGAAAGAATTGCATGCGATTTTCATTGGTTTTATGACGATTTTAGCCGTTAAATGAAATCTCAACTGATTGTCATTCGATTTCAATTGATTCCCTACATTCCTATGAGGTTCTAGTTGTTTGATGCGCTGTCGCCCACAATGCCTGGGTACTCTTGGGTCGCGCAAACATTTGGGACGCGCCCTTGTTCGCTTCAAAATCGCGCTCTCGCTCGGAGCATCCTCAAAAAATCTGCGCTCTATGTTGATTTTTGATCAAAAAATAGGAGACTTCGCCTTTAAAGTAATCTTGCTAGAGAGGTTTGTCCCCGAAAAGGTCTCGCACCTGATTTATGAAAAATTGTGCTCCCGTGCAAGACATCCTCAAAATTTGAGGTTTACTTGCCAAGAAATGCTCAAAAATTGTGCTCCCGTCGAGACAATTCGACTTTCTTGACATTTTCATCATCTTTATATCTTCAAAAATCGCGCTCCCGTACGGAGCATCCTCGAAATTTCGTCGATTCATCTTCATCAAATTCGGTCAACATGATGCTCCCGTGCGGAGCATTCCGAAAAGATCATTTATAAACGATATTGAACAATGATGTCGAGGAGTTCTATATTAATTCTATATCACATCAGTCCCGGTGTACTTCGTTCGAGGTGGTTTTCTCGGCTCAAGAGGGCGGTATTTGGCGTAGCTTTGGTATAGGATTCGTCGGCATCGTTATTCAAAATCTGAACGCCTACTGGATGGATCCTATACCAATTCTATATCAAACTGCTCCGCTCAAGCTCGTCTTCTTCGTTCCAGTTTTTTGCAGAAAATCGCGCTCCCCTGCCGAGCAACCTGACAATTTTGAATAGAATCGCAATCCCGTGCGGGGCATCCTCGAAATTTCATCTTTTCTCGTTCAAAATCGCATTCCTGTGCGGAGCGTCCTGAAAATTTTGAAGAAAATCGCGCTCTCGTGCAGGGAATTCTGAAAAATTCGTTGATTTCTGGTTCAAAATCGTGCTCCCGTGCAGAGCGTCCTGAAAATTTGAATGAACATCGCGCTCCCGTCCGGAGCATTTTGAAAATCCTCTTTCACTCTTGCCTTCCTTCCGTTTTATCTCTTTGCACAAGAGGAAATAGAAGAAGTAATAATGCTGCATCTGTCAAAAATCAGGTGTCTTTTTGAGGTGGTTTTTGCTACCGAAACACAAAGAAAAAGACACCCTGATTGTTGACAGATGCAGCATTCATTATTCTTGTTTCTATTTCTTCTTGTGGAAATAAATAAAACGAAAGGAAACCCATACAAGAGACTGGATTCTACGGAAACCTTGAAGAGAAGGTGTTCCTCTTTCATTCTTGCCTTCCATTCGTTTTATTTCTTTGCAGAAGAGGAAATAGAAGAAAGAACAATGCTGCATCTGTCGAAAATCAAGGTGTCCTTTTCTTTTTGTTTCGGTAGCAAAAGCCATGGGCCATGTTTTTTCCAAGGTTTGGCTCCACCCTGGTTTGGCTCACCCCTGAGGGGTTTCTACAATTTCTAACTCCAAAGGCTGCACATATTGTAACTTATAGCATTGAAAGCTTCTTGCGAACAGAAATATTGAAAAAATCGCCAACTCTGGCCTCTGAGCTTTGTGGGTTTCCGGCTTTGCGGTGGCTTCGTGGCTTTTAGCTTCTTGGCTTCTCGGCTTCAGTGGCTCTTGGCTTCTTGGCTTCTCTGCTTCGGTAGCTTCTTGACTTCTCTTGTCACAAGTTCGCGATCCCGCGCAGTCCATTCTGCAAGCAGCGCTCGTGGGAAAGGATGAAGAAAAGTGGCCGGAGAATGGTAAGAATCCACGCTATGACCGGCCGGCGGCTTCCCGACTGTAGCCCTTCACAATCAGAGACAAGTTGTAGGCTCGTGAAAAACAGCGCTGGTAGTGCATCTATGCAGAAGTCATGCTCCCATTCCATAGCAGTCCGGCCCCCAAGAAACGACATGTTCTCGCAAAA